ATATTGAACAAAAGATGTTCAAAATCATGTTCTGAACAATATGCAACTTTTCATTTTTCGCTAAACGTCCCCATTAGGGAGTTGAAGGGTTGGCCCCTAAATGTTTCTTTTGCAAAAAACTCGAAAACAAAAAAGAATTTCTGAATAGTTATTAAACAAAAAGTGTTCAAAATCCTAAGAGCTTTAAGATGAAATCACGAAAAATGGGCTGGACATTCAAATTAGGGGCCAAGAGGGGCTAGAAGTCTTTATTTGATAACACTTTACCAGTCAATATTTTGTTATACATTACTGAAGCAAAAATGTTTATCTCAACAATATACAACTACATATTATGATTTTTATGTCGTATAGTACATAATTAGGGGCCAAAAGGGACCAGAATGCTAAATCTTTGACATTTATATCTCGAAAGGGAGAAATATTTTGATAAGTAATATTGAACAAAACAAGTTCAAAATAATGTTCTGAACAATATGCAACCTTTCATTTTTCGCTAAACGACCCCATTAGGGAGTTGAAGGGTTGGCACCTAAATGTTTCTTTTGCAAATAACTCGAAAAGGAAAAAAGAATTTCTATTTCTGAATAGTTGTTGAATAAAAAGTGTTCAAAATCCTAAGAGCTTTAAGATGAAATCAAGAAAAAGAGGCTGGGCACTCAAATCAAGGGCCAAAAAGGGCTTAAACTCTTTAATTGATAACTCTTTATCAGTTAAGATTTTGTAATACATTACTAAAGCAAAGATGTTTATCTCAGGAATCTACAACTATATATTATGATTTTAATGTCGTATGGTATATAATTAGGGGCCAAAAGGGGCCAGAATGCTAAATCTTTGACGCTTTATATCTCGAAAATGAGAAATATTTTGATAAGTAATATTGAACAAAGATGTTCAAAATAATGTTCTGAACAATATGCAACCTTTCATTTTTCGATAAACGTCCCCATTAGGGAGTTGAAGGGTTGGCCCCTAAATATTTCTTTTGCAAATAAGTCGAAAACGAAGAACAATCTTTGAATAGTTGTTGAACAAAAAGTGTTTTAAATCGTGAGGCGTTTAAGATAAAACCCAGATAAAGGGGCTGGACACTCAAATTAAGGGCCGAAAGGCGCCAAGTCTTCAATTGATAACTCTGTAGCAGTCAATAATTTGTTATACATTACTGAAGCAAAAAAGTTTATCTCCACAACCTACAACTATATATTATGATTTTAATGTCGTATGGTACATAATAAGGGGCCATAAAGGGCCAAAATGCGAAATCTTTGACGCGTTATATCCCAGAAGTGGGAAATATTTTAATAAGTTATATTGAACAAAAGATGTTCAAAATAATGTTTTGAACAATATGCAACCTTTGGTTTTTTGCTAAACGTCCCCATTAGGGAGTTGAAGGATTGCCCCATTAATATTTCTTATGCAAAAAACTCGAAAACGAAAGAGAATCTCTGATTTGTTGTTGAACAAAAAGTGATCAACATCCTGAGAGCTTTAAGATGATATGAAGAAAAAAAGGGCTGACCCCTAATATTAGGGGCCGTGAGAGACCAAAGGTCGGATTTTTAAGTCTTTAATGTTCAATGTCTTTTTACAGATTATGGAGATAAAATCGTTCCTTTTCACAATCTTATTATTATTTAAGAATGAAAATCTCAATCAAAATCTTATCTCATCTCATCAAGAGTCGGACGGAAGACCCACTCGTTGCTCGCAACGAGATCGTATCTAGTTATTCTTTTTTTTTCTTTACAGATTTTGTGCAGATGATTTCTCGGAGATGACTCGTTCAATTTCCTTCAAATTTTCAGGGTTGATGGATCCTTATCTGAAGTTGATTCCGGCATTTCCATTTCTGATAAATCACTTCCGGTAAAAAGTTATCTCCCTTTTATCGAATTTTAGATGACCATTTTGTCGACACAAAAACTCTAAAACGACAAAGGCTAGAGTGCTAAAATTTTTAATGATAGTAGAGGACATGTTCTTGTTGTGCACCTGGGCTTTCAAATTTTCCGGAAATGATTTGTATGGAAGCTCGGTAGGGGTCCAAATTTAGGACACAAATTTTTAGTGAATTTTCGAGACATTTTGTATTATATCTTTTAAAGTATAAATATGTTGCTAAATTATATTGAATAACATTTGTGGAGAATAACAAGATCTTTAATATGATAGGAACAAAAAAGTGCTGACTCATCAAATTAAGGGCTGAGTGGGGCCAAAAGTCTTTATTAAATAACTTTACAACAGTCAATATTTTGTTATAAATTACTGAAGCGAAAATGTTTATCCCAGCAATCTACAACTACATATTTTAATTTTTATGTCGTATGAAACATAATTAGGGGCCACGAGGGGTCAGAATGATAAATCTTTGACGCTCTATATCTCAAAAGTGGGAAATATTTTGATAAGTAGTATTGAACAAAAGATGTTCAAAATCATCTTCTGAACAATATGTAACCTTTAATTTTTCGCTAAACGTCCCTATAAAGGAGTTGAAGGGCTGGTCCCTAAATATTTCTTTTGCAAATAACTCGAAAACGAAAACGAATCTCTATATAGTTGAACAAAAAGTGATAAAAATCCTGAGAGCTTGAAGATTATATGAATAAAAAAGGGCTGATTCCCAATAAGGGGCCGTGAGGGGCCAAACGTCGATCTTTTTAAGTCTTTTTTTTTAAATGTCATTTAACAGATTATGGAAAATCGTTATTTTAGAATGAAAATCTCAATCAAAATCTTATCTCATCTCATCAATAATCGGACGGAAGACCCACTCGTTGCTCGCAACGAGATGGTGTGTAGTTATTATTATTCTTTCAGATGTTTATGCTGGCTCTGGTCACACACTGTATTATTTATATGGATTTTATGGTAAGATCGCTGTCTGTTTCTTTAGATTTCAAAGGAAATTATCAACAATCTGAAATGTTTACGGTTTTTCCTCTTTTCCCGATCATGGCAGGGAATACACAGCCTTTTAACTTGGTTTTTATATTTCAGAGGTATTAAATTTTGATAATATAGTTTGCCCTGTCGGTCTTTTGTTAAAATATGTGTAATGCTCGAGATATCGGCAACATACATCCTAAATATGCATAATAAAACATGTAGTAAACTAAGCTACTCGTGACATTCGCCCACAATAAGCAAATTGAAATTTTATACAGTTAGACCTCTGTAAAAAGGCTATGCGGGAGGACGGGAAGAAGATTATAGACGAAAAGTTAAATTTATCCGGACTGTAAAGAACGTGATTGAGAGTCACCAATATCACACTATATCTCAGAAGTAGTTTTTGGTTTTAAAACAAAAAAAAACAGAATAATCTTGACTTGTTTAATAGATTTTAAGCTTGACAAGAAATGGTGTTTGATGTTGAGTAGATATGGTAACTCAAACTGTACAGGTACTCTTGGTAAATGTTGAGAAAATGAAATCTCAATCACATATTTTTTATAATGCTTGTGACGTCGAAGATTTTGCTGCGCCGTGACTTAATGGTATGTCCTGAAAAATCACTCAAAATTAATACCAATTTACAACATTTTGATATGAAATTTTGAAGACCATATAAGTAAAGATTCTTTTATATTATTTGTGAAATTTTGCCCGAATATGTCGTCAAATATTTCTTCTGTGCAACAAGTCCGCGTAATTTTTTAACGGCCCTCGTATTAGTCCATTGTTTATACAATGAATTGACGACGGATTTTTTCCGTTATTTCCTGATCATGACAAGTAGTACACGGTGGGTGTGACCGGTCCGCAGGGGATGCTCACTCCTACATGACACCTGATCCCATCTCTGATGGTTTGGGGGTCCACGTTTGCTCTGCTCTTATTTTGTATTGTTTTATGGACTTTGAAATTGATTTATGGATTGATTGTATATTTTTTAACGTCCCTCTCGAGAATTTTTCACTCATATGGAGACGTCACCGTATGCCGGTGAAGGGCTTCAAATTTTGACCTTTACTCGGCACTCAGGGCCATTGAGCAGTGAGGGATCTTTATCGTGCAAACGCCTGCCGCTGACACGGGGCCTCGGTTTTTAAGGTCTCATCCGAAGGACCCGCAACTTTCTCTTCAAAGTGCCGAGCACATGGCCAAGGAACAGCTGCTACCCACTTTAACGACTAAGTCAGTCGCGGCCGAGAAACAAACTCACGACCTCCCGATCACGGAGCTAGCACTCTACCGACTGAGCTACCGTGAACGGTCTGATATTGAAGATTGTTCGTTATCTTCATATCCTTCTTTCATATCCTAGAAAACTACAGATTAAAATTTGTATTGCAAATGTACATTGATCCTTGACCTTTTGGCCTTCGAGATTGACTGCTTTTTGAGAATTTACCAAACTTTAACCTTTATTATTACCCTGGGTTTCCCCCGGGCTCTCCATTAGTATAGATATTGTTGAATTCTCTTGTTATGGGTTTTTACATAGAAGAATAAAGCAGCTGATAAATTTGTCATTTTATTCATAGAAGAGTTTTACATCTAGCTACAAAAAATTTCTTCTACACATGCAATTCTTTGTAAGGGCAAGTTATTCTCAATCTTTTAATTAGAAATTAATATACCTATTCACAACCAGCTTTATTGTCTGTGTTTATTCAAGTAAAATCAAAGCGCCAGTTTGCATTTTCCTTTTCATTCTCAAAAATATAATTCATTATAATGTATTGTAATCCAATGCATGTCCGTAAGGATATTTAACCCCCTACCCCTTAATTACAGGATCCTTTTTGGTGTTCTTTGGATTTTTATTGGAGGGTGATGGAAGATTTACAAATTCCAAATGAAATGGACTGTACCTTGTATACTTTACTAGTATATATATCAAGAAAATTCACTCATTTTCTTAAAAATTGAAATACACATGTAAATATGCTCAACATTTCATAAACATACTCCATACACATAAAAAATCTTTAAATGTTTTTTTTCTGTATTTTTTCAAAGTTTTTGCAAAACCATCAGGGTCATTCGAACAGTTTTATTATCTTGAGTGTCCCAGACATACATTCAGCAACGAATAAATTATCATCACTGTCTGTGCTGAGATCAGACGGAGCTTTTAAATCACAGTTTGCAATGTAGAATAGGAATTCTCCTTCTTTATCAATGACATGTATAACATGATTATAACGGTCAAAAATCAAGATATGACAGAGGCTGTTTGTAGTTAAACCACGTGGAGTAAATGTTGTGTACCTCTTTGATTGGAGGTTTCCATCATAGCTAAATCTAAATTGTCCATCTTTATCTACAACTACCACTTTCTTTTCATCAGAATCACTCACTATAATATCAAGGTTTCTGTTTTCTTCTATATAGACTGGATTGATGTAAAGGTCTTTTCTTTCATTATCGTAGCGAATTTCTTGAGTAGCTGCAGAACCATAATAACGAACTACTTTACTTATTTCCGGATTATTTTTCTTACATTTCATGGAAACAAGTAATCCATTTGTGGAAGTGGAGCATATGCCCAATGGTACCCATTCCTGAAGTGCAAAAAGACATTGTATCCTTCCTTCCGTCATAATATTTATACGGTTAGACCGACTTTCTGTGCACAAGATATGACCCTCTCTGGTTACTGTCATATCATATAGAGTTGATTCTGCCTCGGATTTGATCTCATTTAACACCTCCATTTTTGTGTTCATATGTTTGATGATTACACTGTCACACATGATATAGAACTCGTTTGTATTTGGAATACAGTTTACTCTGTCAATTGTATTATAACCAGACTTTATATTTTTTATGACAGTTGGTTCATCAATAAACCTTCGGCGTGGCATAAGATTACCATTTTTTAAAACGCGCATTGGTATTGTTTTTTTAATTGTCTCTGAAATGACATCAATCATTTGACAAATTTCCTGTTCTGTGAGCTCAACTGGATTGAATTTGGTTACTTTTAGTTCATACATTGTTGGAACACTTTTGAAGTATTCGTTTTGTGAAAAGTAGTGAATAAGTTTTGATGAATCTTTAGAAACTAAAGTTGAATCGTTTGTTTTAATAGCTGACTGAATTAAAGACAGCCTTTTCTGAATTTCAGTTTTGAAGGCCACCAAAGTTCGAGTATCTGTCTCTTCATTCTTTTTTGTTTCTTGTGCATATCTTTTGATGACACTGTCTACAAGCTTGCTGAAATGTGTACCCAAGTTTTCAATAGAATGACGTCTGGCGGCATGCTTTTGCTTAACTTCTTTTAGCATGGTTTCTACGTCAGAAAGAATTGATTCATACATAGGTACAATATCCGTTACAAGTTCATTATTGTCTTTTTCAATCAGATTTCGATTCGATGCTAAAAGTTTAGAACTTCGCTCATAAGGATGATTTTGATGTGAACCAGAAGTTAAACATGCACGGCAAACGGGAAACTTGCACGCCAAACAAAACTCTTCACCATCTTGTTCCTCATGGAATCTGCATTTAGGTATATTGAATTCTGAGTTTTGATATTTGAGAGTGACAACTTCATGAATAATGTCAGGGTTGGATTTTAAATGTGTATTTACGCAATCCTTACAGAGATTTACTTCACAGTTTCTACATGTAATTTCTGCTAAAGACTTTCTATGTTTTTGTGGACATAGTCGACAGCGTTTGACATCTTGTGCTCTGATCAAGGGATCATGGGATGTTGCCATGTTTTTTGTTTAAAGATGTACTTTGTTATCCTTTAGAATATAGAAAAAAATATATATTTAAATGATATCGAGAAATATTAAAATATAAACGGGCAGTTACTACATATACACATAGTCTTGATGAGAATTCTTTCAAATTTCTACACTGGCGAATTTAATGTGGATTAAAACATAGCTTCAAATACTTGATTTTCACAATCCCGTTTTTTAAATTTCTTTAAACATTCATAGCTCGAAATCTTGAACATGATTTTTCTTTCACTGTTTAAAGTTATTTTACATAATCGCACACAATGGAACAATGCTAGTAATATTTTCAAGGTTACGTTATCTATTCAAGAATCAATTTTTAAAACGCTCTAGTTTTATTTATGTGTTTTCATGTTTTATCTAGTTAAATCTAGAATTAAAAACAACAAAAATGTCTTACAATTGTGAGGCACCATTTTGGTATTTACTGCCAAAAAGTGATATGATCAGATTTTGAAGAGGTGATATCATCTATTCAAATATGTGATTTTACCTACTCAAATAGATGATATCATCTATTCGAATAAGTTAGATGACCTTTTCAGACTTTGAATAAGTGAGCTCACTTTTTGCCAGCAAAAACCAAAACTGCGCCTCAAATACAAAACAAGTTACAAAATGCAAAATTTCGACACAAACTCTTCCTTTTTCAGTCATACACTATAAGTAGCAAAGGTATCAAAACATAGTTGATATGATAATAAAGAATGTACAGGGCATTACAACTGAAGTACAGATACTTATAATTAATTAGTTTGAAATTAATATAGAAACTCAGTAAGAAATAATTCCATACCTCCACATATGGTGTCCCGACTATCTAGCATTGTCTGTGAAGGTGCATTCCACACCAGCGATCAATTTTAAGCACCTATATTTATTCTGCAAGTGAAATGTTTGGCTAACGTTACTAAGAGTATTTAGGTATATAAATTGCACAACTTATATATAGAGTCAAAAGATGACACTAGGACATTTTAAACTAGTCTTTCTTTTCAATATTCCACTGCATTCGCAACATTTTTTAGTCCACAGCTATTGTCCTGTAGCATGACATTTTATGTGTGCAAACCAATAAACTGGAAGATATATCTTTAACTATAAATTACCTTAATCACTTTAACAGAATAAAGTCATTCTCATTATTAGCCCTAAAACCCAGGATTGTCGTTAAGGGTCACAAGGACGGGCTGTTTAAATATATTGAACTCTGTTATCTTTATTAATGAATGACTGCTCACATGACGTAATGGCATTGTTCTCGGGTAACGTGTGTGATTCTTAAACAAATTGTCTGTGCTTTATTGTGTTTATCTCAAGTTTTAAAAGATCTGTTGACACAGTAATTTTAATTGTGAGTTGAGTGCATGATCAGTATTACATTATAACAGCTTATTCCTCTCATAACCAATGCAGGGTAAATATGTTCTGAAACCAATTTTTATTTCAAATTCTGCGTAATTGATGAGAAAGATATTATTTAATTCAAAATATAGCTATGGAGCTCCGTTTTGGTATTTAATAATGTCAAAAAGTGATATCACCTGTTCGAATTGGTGATACAACCTACACAATTGGTGATATCACCTATTCAAATAAGTGATATCACCTAATCAGATTTTGAATCAAATTTTGATATCACCTATATCATATCTTCGATTATCTGATATCACCTATTTGATTTGAATCGGTGATATCACCTATTCGAAAAGGTGATATCATTTATTCGAATATGTAAAATCACTAATTTGAATAGGTGATATCACCTATTCCTTTCGAATAGGTGATATCACTTATTCTAATAAGTGATATCACCTATTCAAATTGAATAGGTTATAACACCTCTTCGAATAGATGATATCACCTTATCATTTTGAATAGATTATATCACTTATTCGAAGAAGATAAATGATACACCTATTCAATTTTTTTTTATGAAATAAAAACAGCTACCAAGAATATACGTCCCTTAATCTTATTTACTTTCACTTTCTTTTTATATCTCATCATCTTAGGAGACAATAGATAACAGTTTTGCATTTAATTTTAATCAGCCCCAATTTAAATCAATTATAGTTTGTTTTGCTCACAAATTAATTTATTTCACTTATCTATCATGTAAACTTTAAGAAACATTTAAACGCATGAAGACTGGGTAGTCCGAATTTTCTTGGATCCAGTGGTAATCTATATATTATAGGGGATCATTCATTATTTACTGTTGTAAGAAATTCAAATATGTGATATTACCTATTCGAATTGATGATATCACCAATTCAAATGGAATAGGTGATATCACCTTTTCAGCACCTATAATTCATCACTACAATAGATGATATAGCCTATTCATTTACAATGGGTGATATCACCAATTCATATCACCTATTCGAATAAGTGATATCACCTTTTCGAATAGGTGATATTACC